TAAAATCTCATACAATGCTTGTCACACAGTAAGGTTTGGTAAAGCGAATCATTCAACAGCGTTCCTCAGTTCTTTCTCTTGTGCTGAAAGTGGACTACCTTAGAAAAGACCATATAAGCAAAAATAGAATGACTCAGCTACAGAGCTGTTTTACTGTGTACAGATTACCAGCTTGTCTTAATCCAGTGAGATAGAACACTCCCCAACGCAAGTTACATGAAGCCAGTGTATTACTTACAGATAGGACAACAGAAGCCTATGATTCATAAAAGCCTCAAGAAAGCTAGTTTGGCAGATGGAGTTTCATCTGCATGTGCCCCCCATTTGCGCTGCAGTGGAGGGTCCCAAGAAAGCATCCCACCCTGGGTTTTATACCCCAGCATAACATGATTCACTCTGCTAATGTGTTGAAGGACATACTGTTTCTATGAGGGATTAGAACAGAGCCTAGACTGTTCAGGCTAGTTTCTCCCTATCTTAAGATGTTGCATTCTCAGCATATTCTATAGTTATTCTTGAGAACTATGAGTAAAAAAGGGGGGGTAACTGTGTCAGTCCAAAGATACCTGAAGAATTGTCCTGTGCTGACTAACAGCAGAGAAGTTTCCAGTTGATTTAAAGTCAAGTGTTTTGCAATGTAGTTACAAACAAAATCATTAAGTGCCTATTTTGTGTTTGGCCCCATGGTAATACTAATAATGATTATGACAATAATAACAAAATATATTAAGCAATCATTTTTTTTACCTGTCATTCTTTGAAGCATTCTCTCATTTACTTCTCCCAGAACCCAGTAAGGTAGTTAGCATTATTATCTCTAGTTTACAGATGAGGATATACTGAGTTTGCAGTGTTTAACTCATCCACAGTCACATTACTATTTGTAGTGGAGGGGTGATTTGAACCCAACCTATTTGACTGATTTTTTAACCAGATTGTTAAGAAAATAAACATCAGCCATCCAAAATCTCCCTATCTAATCTAGATGGGAAGTTTACAACTTGAAATAATTAGTCTCAAGAGATTTCAGAGAAGTGGTAGAAAATCGACATGGCCTTGGTCTTCTATCACTAAGGTTTTATTTTTTAAATAAATGAATAAGTAGGTCTTGACTTGCCATTTTATAGCTTTGGTCTCAGTTCAGCAAGAAGGAGCAAGTAGGAAGACTTTTCATAGCGAATCCCCAACGTAGTTGAAATCAGCATTAGCATAGAGCTTTAGAAATAAGGTTCAGCATGCATCTTGTCATGTGACCAATCCTGTTCTCCATCACAGAATTCTAGTTACTTGGTGAGCCTAGGAGGCCACTCTCTGTCCCCATCCTGGACCCCCCTATACTGCAGATCCTCCCTGACATGGGACCCTGGACCCTAAGGCTCAGAAGGGCTCAACCAGGACTTAACAGCAGTTTCTGAAGGGCCTTCACCCATCTCCCAAGTCTGGCCAGACTGACAGGACCAGCAAGGGATGGGGCATGGGAATGATTAGAGACGTAGAATAAAGCAGTATCGTGGAGAGCCTTGAAAGCCAATTTAAAATCGTTTTATCTTCTAATAGTAGGTCCTAGCTTAGCGGCCTTTACGCTTTGGATCTTGACTCCTTAGTAGGTTGTGAAATTAGTGTATTGGGTTACAACCAACATACCTGTTTTAATGAACTAGGATAGAGGAAAATAGAAAATAGAAACGTGTCTTGCAGTTAATAAGGGTTTTTGTGAAACATTTGTTTTAGTTATATATAGTCAATTCTTGTTATCTGTAATAGTTCTATTCTATAAAGTCACCACCAACGCTGAATTAGTAATTATGAAGCCATTGCTCCCTGGGTAAATACAGGATTAGGTTCCTTTGTTCCTCTGGTCACAAAATCTTCATCAACAGATTAATACATACCCTTATTTTATGAGTGTTTCTGTATAAGGACACCTCATTTAATATATATATTGATTCATTAACATTAAACTCTAGGCTAAAGCACTATCACTCATACCTGAATGAAGCTTCTCAAACACATGTGTTTTTCTCCCTAAGGTACATCACAGCCTTCTTGTGCTGATGAACGCCAGTTACCACGTTAGCGCTGTGCTTGGGGGCCATTTTAAACATGAAATCACCAATTTAAAAAAAGCACAAAAATGCAAAAAGTGTGACATTAAATAGGCCTTGAAAAGAACACTCGTTTACAGTTTGAGCTGAAATAAGACAGAGCACCATTTTTTCAACCTCAGCTGGGAACATGTATGTCAGGTGCTTACATTTTCATCACTGTACACATGTCTGTGACTGACCACAAACATGCTTTGGGTATGGATTTGGGAGTTACAAATATATTTAGCAAGTAGGTGAATTTGCAAATATAGAATTTGTAAATAATGAGGATCAACTGTGTGTGCACAGACACACAAATATGTTTACTAGGTCTACGAGGTTGTAATGTAAAATGTATTTCTCAAAAGAAAGTTTTTGTTTTGTTTTGTTTTTTAGACATACATCCCTAAATAATCAGATTGCTGAGGAATGACACAGTGGACATTGCTTTAAGATATAACCACTAAGCAGAATGGGGTTTAGAGGCAAGCAGCCTAGATTAGAAGACTTCTATAGTAATCTAACCCCATGAAGCAATGAGGGCAAAAGTGGGCCTGGGAACTAGGGATAATTAAGCCAAGAAAAGAAAAATGATGACTTGGTTACAAATTGGGTATGTAAATAAAGAAGGAAAAATTGATGATTATTCTGAAAGTATCTGGTTTAGAAATTAGAAGGGTGGTAGGTATAGTGAGATATGTTGCATACTGGAAGGAATAGAGCTTTGGATGCTGGTGGAATCCAGTTTCAGTCTTGCCTCTATGACTTTATTAGACATGTGATCTTTGGCAAGTCATAAAGCCTTCTGCGTCATTTTTACAATCATGCCATTTAAATATCAGGTAATTACTACAATTAAATGAGTCAATATACTATATATGTGACATTCGTAGAATACACTAACACCCAGGATGTAGCTGCAATATAAATAGGTGCTATGTCTGTATTATGTGTAATTATTCATAATATGTTTATTATTTTCACATATATCTATACATGCAAAATATAATATAATTACACCTGAAGAAATATTGGGACATCAAAGAAGGGTTACTCATCAGGCCGTGAAATTATGAGATGGCAATAAAGTTGAAAGGCCAGGATTACTATATATGTGGATTATCAGTTTTTCAAAGCACTAGAGTACAAGTAATATATATTAAAATTGCCTGATAAAATTTAAACTTTGTTTGAGAATGCACAGTAGGATCTTGTAACCAGCCATAATCAGAAATATCAATTTTTACCATATTGGCACAGCTCAAAATTGCTAGTAGAGAGGAACTTCTGGTTGATGGACTACCAAATACACAGGCTTTTACTGTAATTTGTTCTACAGGTTAAAGTTAGTATTGTCAAAACATGGCAGGCAACATTATAGATTTTAAGGCTTCAGTATCTTTATATCTCCCGTGGTATTAAATATAATTCAAACACAGAAAAATGCTCTTCTCTCATTATGTCTTTTCTTTTTGATGAGAGATGAATAGGTCCACTTGAGAAATGATTGTATCGACTATTGTACTCTAAATTTTCTTTAGCACTACACAACTGGCAAGAAGTGGCAAGTCAGTAAGTCCAAATAGACAGCCGATGTGTGATTTCATATCACAGATACTCTCTCTGCAGCACAATAGAACACAGGGTATTGAGTTATCCCCTAATGAATTAAAGTCCCTCTTGCATCCTTTACATACCGATTTCATTAATATTAATAATTACTAATTGTAGCTAACACTTGCCAATGCATAATGGGAACTACGTTTTTACAAATGTTGCCTAACAAAGACTGTTATTTTTTTCTGCATCTTGGTCATGGCACAGTCTGATAGCTTTCAAATAGCAAGCCAAATTGTCAAATGCTGTCCAGTTTGTAATGTCATGTTCGATCTGGAGCTGAGAAGGGCGGCCTCAGGTTTCTGGCCTGTCTTTTATGTCACAGAAGCACAGAATTGTTAAACAATCTGGGGAAATTGAAAGCAGCAAATGTGCAATAAAATTTTCTCTGTAGTTCAGTGCTACATAACAAAAGAGACCCATAAACTTTCTTCCATTCTGGCACTGGATGGTGACTTATCTGTGGGAACAGCAGCCACAACAGATGTAAAGAAAAACAGATAGAACTTTTAAAAAATAAACTTCAGGAAATAGTTTTCATGTCTTTATTTTTCCCTGTGTTTCAGCTAATGCTCAAAGCTTTCCTAAAATGTTCTGTTGGAAATAGTGAGACTGGAATAAGCTCTATTTTCCATTTTGTCCCCTTGTTTCAGGGCTTTCAGATGTCCTTAATAACCCTGAACTTGTAGAATGTTTTAATTAAGGACTTCATTATTAGAGTATAATAACATAAACCTAAGATCCCCCGTGATAATCATGCTTTGTTTATGGTTTTACAACAAACTTGTGTTTTATCCTGTTGGTATATTTGTTGTATTTTGGCATTTCTTTTGACGATGCCTAAAAATGCCAGAAGCTTAAAGAAGGAGAGACAACCTCTGAAGCCACTTTGACTTTTCTTTTTTTTCTTGACGAAGTGTTTTATCTCTGAAGAATTCAGTTCAGTACATGGGTCTTTTGAGTACATTTATTGTACTAAAATGTCGTATTTGCTTAGATCAAATGAAGAGCAACTATACTGAAAATAAGATAGATAACTATTTTATAAAAGACTTTCTATCTTTCTCTGCCAAGAATGCTGTATGTTTTTTCCTTACATTAGGAAATGGGGATAATTTTGACACTTTCCACTTTATTTTAGAAAGAGCTTGTACTTTTGTCTTGTAAGGGAAATAAAGAAAAGTAAGCATGGTAGGGCACAGTGGCTCATGCCTTTAATCCCAGCACTTTGGAAGGCCAAGGCTGGAGGATCACTTAAGCCCAGGAGTTCGAGGCTGCAGTGAGTTCTGAATGTACCGCTGCATTCCAGCCTGGATGATAGACCGAGACCTTGTCTGTGAAAAAAAAAAAAAAGTGTGAGCGATACTGTTTATTATGAAGCTTAATTTGCATTGAAGTTAAATGTTAATGGGATTCTTCTCTCTTCTTTTTCTAACTCAGAAATTTCATTCTAAAGCCATGAAATGGGCAGGGCAAGGTAGGAGTCTGCAGCAGGGAGGAGGGCGGGGTTTGTGATGGCTCAGAGCAACATGTCAGACCCGAGAGGGTAAGTACCGATAGGGCACAGCCTGTCAAGGGCTGTCAGAGCCTTGGCAGGGTGATGAGGATATTCACATGTGGGGACAGGCTGGTGTGGGGTTTTGGAGGACAAGCTGGGTGAAGCAGGTGTCTAGAGGTAGAGTGGATTGGAATATGGACCCCCAAAATATTTGTCCAAGTGCTAACTCCTGGTACCAAACTCTGTATTAATTTCTCAGAGCTGCTGTAAGTAATTATGTTAAACTTGCTGACTTCATTCAACAGAAATTTATTCTTTCACAGTTCTGGAGGCAGAAGGCCAAAATCAAAGTATGGGCAGGCTTGATTTCTTTAGAAGACTCCAAGGGAGAACTGTGTCTGCTTGCTTCTGGTGGGTATTGGCAATCCTTGGAGTTCCTTGGCTTGTAGGCACATCACTTCAATCTCTGCTTCTGCTTTCACGTGGGGCTCTTCCCTGTGTGTGTCTGTGTTGCCTCCTTTTCTGACTCCCATAAGAACACTTGTTATTGGATATAGAGCCCTCCCTAATCCAGGATGGTCTCATCTTGAGATCCTTATCTTGGTTATGGCTGCAAAGACCCTTATTCCAAATAAAGTCACATTTTGAAGTTTTGGATGGACATGTGTTTTGATGTGCCACTATCCAACACACTACCAAATGAAAGGAGGTGACTCATCACATGGTTTTAGAGATCAAGAGGAGTGAGAATGGCATCCCTGTGAAGGGGTGGTTTCTTGTGGGGCAAGAAAGCTTATGCAGGATAGGAGAGCATCTATGCTAGAGGTCACCCAGCATAAATGTCAGACCCCAAGTGGGGTGAGGAGGCGAGATGAGAGATTGGTTACATATGATAGACTGATCAAATATGTAAGTAAGTATATTGAGGGTGAAGGGCCAAGATTCTGTCATAGAAGCAAATTACAAATATATAAAAGGAGAAAATTATGGAGTTGAAGGTACTGGTGTGAACTTACAATTTGTAATAAATAAAGATATATTAATACATGGAGATGTAAATGTATGTGGGTGTATGTGTGTATTATAATACCTAGCTCTGTTCACTGAAATAGACTGGCAACATATCCACCGCAATAGCAACTAGCACATTTAGCATCCATATCTTGGCTTCTAAATACCAGTCTTCACCAAAAAGAGAGAGAGTTTTTCTGGGAAAATGACCAGATTTCATAGAGGGAGTACATTGTATAGAGGGAGTACAATATCAAGCATTTTATACCAAAAAGTGAGGAAGTCCTTTAAAAAAACAATGAAGTCATGTCAAAAGGGCATAAAAATCATCTTGAAGAAGCTCCCATAAGCCAAATTGGGAATAATTTGACCATCAAAATAAATGATAGTAATGTATTACAGCTCAATAAAATACAAAACCATAAGTCCATCTGTATCAAAGTGAGTAAATTGAAAATTTGGAATGAATGAGATATTTACATACTTTCAAATCTGTCCCCCACAAAATGTTTACTAATCACAAGAGGGAAAATGAATACATTTTGAATGGAGAAACATGGCAGATGCCACCTGAACTGAGTGATCAAAGTGAACATCGTCAGTGATAGCATAAATCAAAATTTCTTGTCACCTACCTGATAGAATGCAATGAGGAACATCTGTGATATTCCTGTCAGATGCATCATCTAAATCTCATCATGCGAAAGCACAATAAAGCCAAATTGAGGCATATTCTACAGAATAACTGGATGGCAATTTTCAAAAGTCTCAGTTTTGAAAGCCAGGGAAAGACTAATGAACTAATTAAGGCATCTAGAGAGACATGATAACTAATTGCAATGTGTGTTTCTGAACTGGACCCTTATTTTGACAATCAAATGGGATCTGAAAATTAGAGAGTAGTAACATCTCACCATATCAATTGCTTAGCCAATACCCGGAGCAGAGTAAGCACTCAGTTTATGATGATTTTGACAATGATGATAATGACAATGATCACTGACGGACCGCATAAAAAAATATACCTAATATCTATCTACTTAATATCCTGGAATTCTAGAACAGGAATGTTCTGGATTCATGTGCAAAAAAACAACTGGTTCCCCAGGTCTAATCAAATTAAATTGAGAGGTAAATTTAAATTATATATATATTTTATCCAACAGAGAAATAAAAAGCACTTTGCCAAATAGTTAAACACTTGAGAACCAAATAACTAAACTCTTCAGACCTAGGAATTCTAAAATTAAATTGTTTTCATGAAAGTCAAAAATTCAGTCTTCTTCCAACTACCAAAGAAGAGGAATGAATATGAAAAGAGAGGCTGAATTGTCCCAACACTGAAGTGTTGGGAGCAATTCATTGAAGTGTAGAGCTGGAAGAGATAATGGTAAATGTGCCAAGATCCTTCGATAATGCCAGTTTGGAAGACTGATCCCTAATTTTCCAAGGGAAAAATAAATCCCAGTGTCATAATTGCATTCCTGTGTAGATCTTTGCTTAGGTTTTCTAAAGTTCAGAGCTAAAAGTATATCATCCTTTGTATTTAAGGAAGTCTTATGGGTATCCTCACTTACTCATGGTGCAATAATATTCCTGCAGATTCTACATCTCCATCCATGGGCCACTGTTTCAGGAATCTCAGCCAGGGCAACACAACCTCAACCAACAAGAGTATGGAGAGAAAGGAGTCCCCCACGTGCCACAAAGCTGTTGTCTGAAAACTATCTCATATTGTCTCAAGTTGTCATTCGGTGTGAATTAGACCTTTTAAACATATAATCTGCAACATGCTTCATTGTCTGATTTTCCAGAGCCCCTCATATAAGAAACTGTATTATTGGTATAATCATCGTGGTGAGGAAGTTGATATGTGGGGGAGAGATGACAGGAGCAGAGAGTAAGTCAGAGCTGGCTGCCTGACAGATAAAAAGGAAATGACAAAAAAAAAAAAAAAAAAAAAAAAAAGACACAGAAGAGTACTTAGTTGACCACACAGAAAAGGGAAGTATAGGTAAGACAGCAGTATACTAAGATTCGTAAGACTCAAGTTCTAGTCTTATTTATTAGCTATGGGAGGCCTTGAGAGAGTTCTAGATTTAAGTGATCTCTCTTTATAAAGTAGGAACAGTAATAACTTCCCTGGCTATCTCACAACACTGTAGTAGTAAGAAATAATTTTATAATTAAAGACTATTTTAGGGCTGATTACATTTTTGGGCAGTGGCTCATGCATGTAATTTCAACACTTTGGGAGGCCAAGGTGGATGGATTGCTTGAGCCCAGGAATTCAAGACCAGGCTGGGCAACAAAGACCTTGTCACTACAAAAGAAAAAAAATTAGCTAGGCGTGGTGGCATATGCCTGTGGTCCCAGCTACTCAGGAAGCTGAGACAGGAGGATCCCCTGAGCCTGGGAGGTTGAGGCTACTGTGAGCCATGATCACACTACTGCACTCCAGCCTGGGAAACAGAGTGAGACTCTGTCTCAAAAAAAGGAATATTTTACACTTCAAGGTTCTGTACAAATGTAAAACATCATTCTATTACATATTTATAATGGTGATTATTCTTTAAGTGACTTTAAAATGTTAATCTCTGCTAAGCCCACAGAGAAGTATATAAAAAATTGGTAAAGGATTGGCGTCAGAGATAGTCAAAATAAAACATAGAAATTATGGTAAATAATTTAACTGGTAAAATAATCTAAGTGGTAGTTGTCAGGTAAGTGGAAATTCAATCAGCTGATTGTTTAGGATTCTTGGTTGTAAGTGACAGAGACCTAACTAAAAGTATGTGAAGCATATAACTGAGAAGTCTGTGGTATGGCTTAGCAGTCAGAAATGGGAAAATATTGGGACCAGTTCATGTTTTATTTACGTTATCTTTGTTCCCAGGCAGTCTCTGCATGTAAGTGACAAAGATGACTATCTGCAAATATATATACTTTTTTGAAGGGCTATCTCAAGCCATTCTAGAGAAGCACTGAAAGCTTCTTATACTTCAAGATAGTTTGCTTTCCCTGATTTGTGATGAGTGGAACACTGAACAGTGATATAGAATAATATTCTGTAATTAAGGGGTTGTTGTAGTATGGCCAATGGGTGGAATCCGGTCCTCAGCCTGATTTTGCAAATAATCTTATAGAAACACAGCAACACCCATTTATTACACCTTGTTTATGGCTGCTTTGGGGTTACAATGGCAGAATTGAGTACCTTTTGTTTCTATGGCTGTCAGTTACAATGGCAGAATTGAGTAGTTGACAGATCACTAGGCTCACGCGCACACCTTGTTTATGGCTGCTTTGGGGTTACAATGGCAGAATTGAGTAGTTGTGACAGATCACTAGGCTCACCACGTCGGAGATATTTACTGACTGACCCTTTATAGAAAGTTTGCTGCTCTTAGAGGAATGTGTGTTTCTAGTATCAGCAATAAACTTCTTGGATTTGTTTTCTCATCTTTACAATGATAGTTGCAGACTAGTTGATCCTTGTGACCTGTTTTTGAATGTCACTGTGTATTCTGTCTGTCAGGGCTCTCTGATTCTGTTTCTTATGGTGCTGAATCCACAATTTAATACCCTGGAATTTCCTTCTGTCTTCTGCTAAACTTATGCTTCCTCAGATAGTTAAAACCCTGTTCTACCTTAGAAGTCTCCAGAGTTATTTTCCTAAATTAAGAAGAACTGGCTTTGAAGTTAGTCATTATGCCACACACAACGGTTGAAAAGAGCATCTCTTTTATGCACTGTGTGTATTTCAGCATCCACTCAGCTTCTTAGGTAGAAAAGGAAGAGTCTTCCACAGTGTATTTTATCCATATTTGGGTCAGAAACTCTTCTTTACCACGGAGGATGATGGAAGAAAGATATGCAATGGTAACAGTAGGCAAGAGATGTAATAATCACAAAATTTGAGGCCGGGCCTGGTGACTCATGCCTGTGATCCCAGCACTTTGGGAGGCTGAAGTGGGTGGATCACCTGAGGTCAGGAGTTCAAGACCAGCTTGGCCAATGTAGTGAAACCCCATCTCTACTAAAAATATACAAAAAGCATCTGGGTGTGGTGGTGCACATCTGTAATCCCAGATAGGATGCTGAGGCAGGAGAATAGCTTGAACCAAGGAGGTGGAGGTTGCAGTGAACTGAGATTGTGCCACCACTGCATTCTAGTCTGGGCAACAGAGTGAGACGACGTCTCAAAAAAAAAAAAAAAAAAAAAAAAAAAAAAAAAAAAAAAAAAAAAAATCTAGAAAAAGATCTCCAAGATTCAATCCTTTAATTATTTCTTTTAAAAATGAGAAAAATGACTCCTGGTCAGCTTTTACCTTCTTTTTCAACTGTTTTGGCAATACTTTCATATTGGGCTCTTAAAGTCTCAAGTAATAGGTTTTAAA